GTTATTACCGAGAGGATGAGGATAGCTGCGTGAGCTCAGAGAAACGGAACTCTAGTGTGGATGACTCAGTCCTTTTGTGTAAAAAGCCGTGTTTTTAAATGCTTCCAGTGCTCCTCCAAACTACCACCCTTTTTTTAGGGTAGAAAGCGCCTGTCGACCAGAATTTTTTTTACCCTTAACCAACACACTCTCATCGATTCGTTTAGCTGAACCGCTGAAGTCAGGAAAAGAAGGAAGTGGGAAGAAAGACATGACATGTATTTCTTGTAGCTGAGGATATTCGAGGTTCTGTATCGCGCGCGAAGCGAGTAGTACCTTTAGACCTCTAGCTAGTTGTCTCAATACAGTACTTTTGCGACAAATCAATTGTGTCATTGCGGCCTACGCCCCGCACTATTTATTCAACGGTATCATTTCACCAGAGGCTAATCATAGCCTTAAAATTAACCCCAAAGCGAGCTTTATGTTGGTGAACCGGGTAGAAATGCAGGCTTGGTCTTGGCCATGTTTCAGATGTCCTAGGCTATGCCCTAGAAAGAAGGAAATGAGCACAAGGGGGAAAGAAGAAGCCCCGCGGTGGATGGTGGAGACCCACCGTACTGGCCTAGCTCCGCATACAATTGTTCTGGAAGTATCTGCGAAACAAGAGATTACTAAAGCACTTCTAAATTTCCTTTCAGGATCGTTGGCTGTGCTGAAACTGTCGATGGTAACGCCAGACGATTCGGGTGAATACACTGTTGTTGCTGAGAATCCATTCGGAAAGGTGAGTTCTCTTTCTTTTTCACAGTTTCCCATCCTCGAATGCCACTTGGAGAGATCCCGTAAGTGAAATGGATCAATCTATCGATGTTGTTTAACTCGTTACTGACTCAGTCGCGCCTCGGCAGCACTTTACAACGTTCAGTCTTTGACCGAAAAAACTCAAATGCCTCCTCTGTGCCGACAGGCCGACACACCCAACCGATTTCTCGAGATTTCCCTCACAATATCGCAGTTATATCGCATCTATTGACCAACTGTGTGGGCAGTTTCTTTACAGAAAGCAGATCTGAACTCTAAGGCTATGCGACTCGTCGAGAGGAAAAATCGTGGGCGGGGATAGATTCGAGTGGTCTCGTCTCGCCCTCCCCACCCTCACCACCTCGAATGACTTTGCAAGCTGGTCTTGAAGGTTTTTGAGTTGAAATATTGCATACATTATGCCAGCAAGCGTTCTGCATCTTTATTTCGTAATGGTGGGCATAGACGTGGTCCGTGGACAGTTGGCAGGCAAAGACGCCACGCCGCTGGCGGCAGATGTCTATTGTTTTGCCTGAGGCTTACTTTAATTAGTTCCCATCATTCCACCCACCTACTGCTTAGTGTTCCACCTACCCAGGTACTCCTACTATTTCATAACCACCTGCAGGTTCATCGTCTGACCCTCCTGGTTTCGATGACACTCTCATGCTCCCTCCAGTTCCCACCACCGCCTCCATCACCTGCTCAAGCAATTCGTCATTTTCTGTAATAAAGATTGGCAGTGTAAACCGCCGTCATATCATATATAATTTCAAGCATTTCATCGGTTCAGGATCACAGGCGATCCTCTTGTGATGTGTTCTTCTCTCATTAGAGCTCAGCCTGCTTCCCTCTTTATCACAGGTGTTACACAGCTTCGTTTGCCCAGCAATCGCCAACGAATCCCATTGCAATTTAGCTCCAGTCGTTGCTGCAGCTTAGCTGGCTTGTGGTTCTATTCTACAGCTTCTGCCTTATCTTTATCGGAGCTGGAGCCGATACATTTGGGCCCTTACGGCGATGACGACATCAGGCGTTCATAGCGTTGGCCCATTGGCCCATCTGTTTGCTTGTCTCTCTAACTCAACACACGACGAACTCATTCTTTAGTGTGTCAACCGTTTTCGCATGAACGTAAATATTTGGCGGATATCCTCTCCTTCATCAGCCGCTAGCTAGCTGACGATTGATTCGCCACGAGCTGTTTCTCAAGTACTTATCTCTTTACTGTTCCCGATTCCACTTGATTTCTGATGCCATATGTATTCCTTAATCTTCTCCTACATTTTGATGAGGCCTTTTTTCGTTTCTCCTTTTTTAACTTCGCCTTTACTTACATATACCTCTACTCACCCCAAACGCGGCCGCTTGGGACCAATGTACCTGACTGGTGTGGTATCCCACCCTTGGGCTGGACGCGGTGTTTTGACCTATCCTGGGAGCCCCTCTTATGTCCCTTCTTTCATGAATGTTGGGGGGTATGGTTATGGAATAGTTACGGGACCTTCATTACCTTTAAGTTTGCTTAAAGACAAACGCCAACACTCGGAAGTATTGTACTTAGTAGTTAGGGAATCCCCAACCCCCTTGGCCCAGTTCTGGGCGCGGTAAATTGACCTTTCCTTGCTTGTTTGCGTGCAATCCCGCTTTGGAAGTCATGTGCAGGGAAGGGTCAGGAGAAGGTATTTTTTATGCTGGTTTTCTATGCAGGTATTTTTCCACTTCTCACGGTCTTCCGTTGGGACCGTGGCCGTCATCCTTGACATTTTTTCAGCTCGACAGGTGGGCATAAGCCTCATGGCAAATGCGCTAGACAGCGACCAGCCATTGAACTCTGGGACCTTATGAGAGGGGAAAAATGGTCACAAACCCACAAAACGCTTACCCTTATCCTTAAGGAGGACAGTCCTGCGCTCAAGCAATCATTGGGCGTCTCGCCCACCTAAATTCAGAGGCTATTTTCTGTCAAGAGTTCAATTTTTACACCGCGTTTTTATTTTTTCATTCACTGCTAGATGGGATCAGCTTTGGATGACGCAAAGAAACGATTAGTGAGCCAGAGGTGGAAGGACATTACTTTGCTGGCATAAAACGACCAGTCGCGAAGAGTTCGTCCAGAGGGGTTCCCAGGTCGTTACTTAGCGTGGATCCCATGTTTTTTTCTGCTTTCTACTTACCTGGAGAGTTTAGCGGTTATAGGTTGATAACTGAGCACTAGCCTCCTTTAATCTTCTCGACCAAGTTCCTAGCTCATAACGTTACCTCATCTCTGACTCACCGAACTGCCTCTATGTTTTTATCCTTTGAATCGCATCACCGTTTAGGTACTTAGGGACCCCAGTAGGAATCGCCGGGTTACCGTAATGCAAAGGCAACCCATGGAGATGCCCACCAAATTACCCAACTCAAATGATGGCTCTTTAGAAAAACAATCTCCACCTCCGTCACCTTTTTCTCTCAAACGAAACAATCTCGCCCACCTTACCCCATGATGATTTGCATTGTAAAGCGAGTGTTGAGGTAAATAGGGCTGCGGCGTTGAGGCGGCGGCGGCGGCGGCGGTGGCGATAGCAGCCTCAGGCCTCAGCATTTTTTTACTGGCACTCATTGTAGAGGGATGTAAGCGAGGTGGTGGTGGGCTGTTCAGGACATCGAGTTTTTCTGGGGACAGTTTTTTTTCTCGTCAAGGCGCTGCTGGTCTGATACCTATATACGAATTTTCGTATAGTTAGATGCTCCTTTGTGAAACTTCCACGTCTCAGCAAAATAAATTTCACTCGCTTCATATTCCGCATAAATTCACAAATCTGCAGGGGCTTTTGGGCTTGGAAGGGACGCTTTGCACTTTCGCTAGTTCCTTTCTTGGGCACATGTTAGCTAAATGGATCCAGTCCTGTAAGTCCTGTGAAGCTGCGAAATTGTTCGAGTGAGCCATTTTGGTCACAGGAATTTGCAGTTCTTCACAATCTGCCCGGTAAAAGCTTAGCTGAGTATCATCTGGTGCCGATCTGCGCCTCCTATGTCCGATAGGCTCACTTTCCGTAAAGAAGCCATGTTCAGTCTTACCATGCTCTTGACTTGTTCTGCCGCAGGCTATTTTTACACCATACTTGCTTCCTGTAACAAAAGGCAGCTTTGGGAATCATCAGTACTGCATAGGGTGCTTAAGCTGATAGCCGTCGACTTGGCGTCTAGGATTTCCAGTCGTTCCTCGACTTGTACTCAAATTAATCCCTTTTTGCTTTTGCTAACCGCTTCCTGCTATCCAAGGCGTTCTTCGAATTGGCCCTCTTCTGAAATGGCTCCCAAACGGGTACATCCCCAAACCTGTTCAGAGAAAGAGGAAATCCCTATCTAGGTCCAGTGCTGTCTCAAGTGGTCAGTGGCAGATATTCGGAACAGTGAGGTTAGGGCTCATAAGGGAGGAGAATCGGAGGAAATTCTAGGAAAAATTGGGCCTAAACCTTCCTAGCCCTACTTTCATACATCTCGTGAAATTCCTTGGTCGAAGGAATGGCCGACAGGGAAGGTATAATGCCGACGAAAATATTATTTGAGCGGGAAACAAATCAAATCGTGGCTTCTAACGGTGACAGTTCCATGGCCACATGGCGCAGTCTTCCGAATTTCTGGGCGCTATGGGCTATCCCCTACTTCTGAGCCCTTTGGCACGCACTTCAAATTGGTCGACGTGGTCTTATGATGTCGGGCCTTTTTTCGGTCGTGCGGAGCGCTTTGAGACGCTGTCTTTGGCACAACAACTACAACTATATGGAATTCATTTTGTTCGTACAGTACCGCTTTAATAATGTCCCTGGCCAGTTTCTTCTTTCAAGAACAATGGGTACTTTGCAGGTTGAGCCAAAAGCCCGCATATCCGCAAGAGCTCTCTCTCTCTCTCTCTCCCTCTCCTCTTAAGAGCAG